TAAAAAACAGAATAGAAACACCAGTTAAGATAGGCAAGAAAATGGTAAGTGAGCACCTATCCAGCCTAGACGAGTTCAAATCACCAGGACCAGATGGATTATACCCCAAGGTACTCAAAGAACTGGCCAATGTGATCTCAGAACCACTGAACTATATTTTTCAAAGATTCTGGAGCACTGGAGAACTACCAGAGGACTGGAAAAGAGCTGATATAGTTCCCATCTTCAAAAAAGGGAAAAAATGGATCCAGGAAATTACAGACCTATCAGACTGACCTCAATACCTGGGAAGATTCTGGAAAAGATAATCAAAAAACGAATCAGCGAACACCTAGAGCAGTGGTGGCGAACCTATGGCACGCATGCCAGAGGCAGCACTCAGAGCCCTCTTTGTGGGCATGCATGCCATGCCCCAGAGATGCAACCATCCCTCTTCAACCAGCTGCCTGAGGTCCCACGTGGCTGGATGCATCCCGGCATGGCTGGTTTCCTTTCCCACCATCCTGTCCCTCCTGGCCTCACATGCTCTCCTTTTCCCAGACACAACCCACTGCATCACCTCTTCACTGTCGGCCAGCAGTCCAGCTCAGAGGTGGCTTCTCTGAACTGCTGGCGGTGGGCTGCGGAGCTCCAGAATGCACTGGTCAAGGAGCCAGCAAGCTGTGGCTGCTGACGGACACCATCGGCCCCCATGTGCTCACTGGCCTCTGTGTGCGGGGGGCGATGGTGTCAGGCAGCAGATGCCCTGGCCCCTGCCTCTCCTTGCCCCGTGGCAATGGCACTCCTGCCCTGCCTCGCCTCACCTCACCCCGCAGGATGAGCCTCCTGCCCACCGCCCCACCTGCCAGAAATCCCCTGGATCATGACCAACATCGAGGTGACCATGCCCACCTTGGTCACATCCACCCAGTCTGCCATGACCACCATAGCCACGCCCACCCAGTAGGCCACATCCCACCTGGCACCCGGCGATAAATAAGTGGGTTTTGGGTTGTAGTTTGGGCACTCAGTCTCTAAAAGGTTCGCCATCACTGACCTAGAGACAAACAAAATCACTACTAAAAGCCAACATGGCTTTTGTCAAAAACAGATCATGTCAGACAAACCTTATTGCATTCTTTGACCAAGTGACAAAATTAGTGGATCAGAGGAATGCTGTGGATATAATTTACTTAGACTTCAGTAAGGCATTTGATAAAGTAGATCACAACCTACTACTCGATAACATAGAAAAATGTGGGTTAGACAGCATTACCACCAGATGGATTCGTAGCTGGCTGACCGGCCATACTCAGCATGTGGTCCTCAATGGAACCGCATCTACATGGAGGGAAGTGTGTAGTAGGGTGCCCCAGGGCTCTGTTCTGGGCTCAGTGCTCTTCAACATCTTCATCAACGATTTGGATGAGGGGATAGATGGGGAATTCATCAAATTTGCGGATTACACCAAGCTGGCAGGAATAGCCAACACTCCAGAAGACAGGCTTACGATACAGGAGGACCTGGACAGACTTGAACACTGGGCGCTATGTAACAAAATGAAATTCAGTGATGAAAAAAAGTAAGGTTCTACATTTAGGCAAGAAAAACCAAATTTACAGGTATAGTATAGGGGGTACCTTGCTCAATATTAGTAACTGTGAGAGGGATCTCGGAGTCCTAGTGGACAATCACTTAAATATGAGCCAGCAGTGTGCTGCAGCTGCCAAAAAAGCCACCACAGTGCTGGGCTACATTAACAGAGGATAGAATCAAGATCACATGAAGTATTAATACCACTTTACAATGCCTTGGAAAAGCCACACTTGGAATACTGCATCCAGTTTTGGTCACCACGATGTAAAAAAGATGTTGAGACTCTAGAAAGAGTACAGAGAAGAGCAACAAAGATGATTAGAGGACTGGAAGCTAAAACATATAAGGAACAGTTGCTGGAATTGGGTATGTCTAGTTTAACAAAGAGAAGGATGAGGGAGGACATGATAGCAGTGTTCCAATATCTCAGTGGGTGCCACAGAGAAGAGGGAGTCAAGCTATTCTCCAAAGCGCCTGAAGGCAGGACAAGAAGCAACAGATGGAAACTAATCAAGGAGAGAAGCAACCTAGAACTAAGAAGAAACTTCCTGACAGTTAGAACAATTACCCAATGGAACAACCTGCCTCCAGAAGCGGTGAATGCTCCAACACTAGAAGTTTTTAAGAAGAGACTGGACAGCTATTTGTCCGAAATGGTGTAGGGTTTCCTGCCTGAGCAGGGGGTTGGACTCAATGACCTCCAAGGTCCCTTCCAACTTTATTATTATTATTATTATTATTGTTATTGTTATTGTTATTGTTATTGTTATTGTTATTGTTATTGTTATAGTTATTGTTGTTGTTGTTGTTGTTGTTGTTGTTATTATCTACAACCCTCTAAGAAATTAGGCCCAAAATTTGTGGGACCTTTTCCCATCACACACATTATAAACCCCGTTACGGTAGAACTGGAACTATCAAAACTTTAAGACAGGCCCACCCTGTGCTTCATTGCAGCCTTTTAAAACCTGAAGTAACCTTGCCTTTACGGCCAGTGGTGGCCTCAAAGCTGCAACCTCTCATGGTTGAAGGTGAACAATATTTTGAAATTAGAGATTCTTGATTCTTGTAAACACCATGGAACAACACTAGTTGCATGGAAAGACCTTCTCATATCTCAAAACGAGTGGGTTCACAAAAACATGTGAGACTACTCAGATGATTCCATGCTCTTTACCCTGATAAACCTAATTAACTGTGTTATTTTGTTCTCTCCTGTTGATTATTTTGCTCTGCTCCAGGTGGATTTCTCCTTCCTTTAGGTGCACAGTATGTCAGGTCCCAATGGTTACTTTTGGGGTGCTGCCATTCTGATGGGAGGAGGGACCTTGAGCTTTCCTGTAATGTATTTAGTTTTGTTTTTATTTAATCTTTGCCTCTGCACTTTCATCTGGGGAATTGCCCGAAGCTGTCTGCTTCACCTCAACAAAGAAGAGACCCCTGGAAACATCTTCTTATTGCAGTTTCCATCTGGCATTTCTCACAACATCATTGCACCTCTGGATTGGCTTCTATGGACTGAGCAGTTGGGAGGGGTTTGAACAATGGGTTGTAACCTATCGATGCTTTCTGCCTGCCTTCAGATTCTGTCTGCCTTCTCTTGCTTTCACTAACTCTCAATAAAAGTTCCTTTTGAAATGATGCCAGTTTTAAGAATTCTGCTTTCTTGAGAGATTCAGCTGAGGCAGGGCCTTACACTGAGGCAGCTGCCTACAAAGTTGATTATAGGTTTTTTTTTAAGTTGGAGGACTATGAATTATGGAAGACATAGGACAGGGGTGTCAAACTGCCGGCCTGCGGTCAGATGCGTCATGCTGAAACCACGCCCACCCCATTGCCGGCAATGGAAAAAAAGTCACAATATGTCGCGACATGTCATGTGACTTTGCAAGTTTGACACTCTTGACATAGGAAGACATGCCCAATATTCTTCATGGTTGTCCTTTCTGACATAAGGATAAGACTTCCTTTTCTCAATGATTTAGTTTAGCTTGAATTTTCAGATTAGCTGTAATTCAGCAGGCAACATTAGTGAGATTTATTTTTATTCCTCCATGTTATCTGCTACTGCTTTTTATTATTTTTCCAATAACAGAACGTTTCTTTTTGGACAGCTGAAAATATAACAAATATTTCATTCTTGTCACTCCACATGAATACCTGCAGCTATCCTTGACTTCAGATAGGAGCACTTCTTAGCCCATCTAAAGATGCCAAAATCTAAAGAATGAATCTAGGCCAGTGGTGGTAAACCTATGGCACGCGTGCCAGAGGCAGTGCTCAGAGCCCTCTCTGTGGGCACACGCACCATGCCCCGAAGATGGCAACCATCTCTCTTCAACCAGCCACCTGCTAACTCACTGAGGTCCCACGTGGCCGGATGCATCCCAGAATGGCTGGTTTCCTTCCTCCTTCATCCCTCCTGGCCTCACATGCTCTCCTTTTCTCAGGCACGACCCATTGCATTGCCTCCTCAGCTGTCAGCTGGCTGTCCAGCTCAGAAACGGCTTCTCTGAACTCTCTGGCCCCTGCCTTGCCTTGTCCTGCAATAATGGCACCCCCACCCTGCCACGCCTTGCCTCGCAGGACGAGCCTCCTACCCCACCTGCCAGAGACCCCCTGGATCACCCCCAACCCTGCCCGGCCCCAACAGGCGTCTTTCCCATGAGCAACATCAAGGTGACCACACTCACCTTGACCACACCCACCCAATCTGCCATGACCACCATAGCCACGCCCACCCAGTGGACCACCCCCACCTGGCACCCAGCGATAAATAAGTGGGTTTTGGGTTGCAGTTTGGGCACTCGGTCTCTAAAAGTTTCACCATCACTGATCTAGGCCCCGGGTTAAGTATCTTCCTTTATATATGTGCCAACAACATATGTGAAAGAATGGGGGAGGGGTCCCTATCTTTTGTTGAAGCAGGCTTTCACTGTTCTGCTGCATCAGAAATTTGTTCAACAGAGAAACAATGCAACTTGCAGTTAACTACAAAGTGTGATTGAACGAAAGACTTTTTATAGTTTGTTCTAAGAATATTTGCTAGTAGCTAATCCACATATGCTTATTTGTAAGTGATTTCCGCCTCGTACAAGGAGGCTTCACTCCCAGATATGCCTGCAGAACATTCCAAATTTAACAAAATGAGGCTAATCTCAGATTCCAGATCAAACCCAACCATATTAAAGAAGCCTGTAATGTCTTTTATGCTCGATTACACTTTAAGGTGCCGAGGCGTGCGCGCGAGTAAAAGCACGCGCTCCTTCGCTACGTGGGTAGCTGTTCAGTCTCAGAAAAAGTTACAGGCTCTTAAAATCCGCTGGGAGACTTCCAAAGCATACATGGCCTAGGAACTATCGCTTGCGACTGCGTGAAGCAGACAGCGGGAGGCGCGGTGATGGGAGGGCTTAAGGCCCAGTTAAGGGGAGAGAGAGAGGAACGTTGCTGAGTTGGGAAGAGTCAGCTGAGCAATCAAGTAAGTGTTAGCTGGCGCTGGCGGCGACTCGGAGAAATAGTTCCGATTTAATACAAGAAACCTTGAGGAGGAAAGCCAATAACCAACGGTAAATATATGATCGCGAAAGAATAATAAGACTCTACACTCAGATTCTTCTCTTCTTACTCCTACTGGACTTGCTAGGTTATTTGTATGTGAGTTTTTGTGTACGTATGGACGCCAGAAGTTTCTTTTTTGTCTCCCCTCGCCTCCAAGAAAGTTCCGGGTGCTGATGCTTGCCCCTGTTCTTTTTCTCCTTGCATACCGTTCTTAGTCCGCCCTAAACTTGTTTCGATCTGCACGGTCAGAAGAGAGTGTGGAAGGAGGCGGGGGTTCCCAGCTCGCTCGAGTTCTCCGTCGCCCAGGAGGAACGGGAAGCGACAGGATAAAAGAGGGGCCATTGGAGGAGAGCTCGAAATCTGGCAGGTAAGTCTTGCCTGAAAAAGTGAGGGGTTGGGTCGTGCCTCGCTTTCTGTTTCTTTGCTGTGGTTGAGAAGTGGGCTAATAACTGAGTACAAGGCGCCTTCTCGTGTGAAGGAGCGAGGGTTCTGTGAGAAAGGCGGGGGTCTTTTTGCTTGCAGCGGGAGCGGGGAGGCCCTTCGCTTGCGATTGGGAGCTGGGTGGTTTGCGCTGTCTTTTGGGAAGTAAATACACTTACGTTTAATAAGCACGCCTTCTCCTTTCTCCTCTCTTTTTGGCACGCGCACCGCTGATATGGTGGGGAAGGACTAGAACCCATTGGAAATGCCCAAAACGTGCTGTGTTTCTTTACGGGTGACACAAATTTTCGCTCATTTCACTAAAAAAAAAAAAGCCAACAAATTTTGGGGCTAGAAACTTTGTTTCTCAAGACTCGATCTATGTGTCTTTTCCACATTGCATCATAAAGTAAGGGTGGAGTTCATCTTTCTCCTCCTATTCTCCACCTCCCCTCCTAAGTAACTACCGTAGATTTGAGGGGTTGTCTGGTTATGCCAATCACTTGTGGTTGATAGTGCAGTCTATTCTTTGCCGCGCCCACTTTGGGGAGTCGGTCAATCCAGAGATTGGATGTGGGAGTGGGGCTGGAAAAAGAGGATGCATCTGAAGAGGGAGGCGAAAGAATTGTGGAGCTAATCTAGCAGCAACCTGATAAATGTAGTCTTTGAACTGTAAACCGGAAAGATATAAATATGGGCCTTATAGATGCATTGTCCGTTCCGTAATAGAATTTTGATTTGCTATTTCTTTGATTTGCTATTTATTTCTTCAAAACTGCAGAAGAGTGTTACCCTTTCTATTCTCTTTCCCCTAAATAAATATAACACCTGCAAATAGTTAATTCCTTTAGAACCAGAGAAGTGGGGGGAATGGCAGAGACCATGTTGTCTGTTTAAATTCAAAGTCTTCTCACAAATGAAGGCAAATATACCTGTCCCAGGATATTTTTGTAGGATCCAATCTGGGTCTGTCACCAGGACCAGAGGTTTTGTCTTCTGAGCTTTTGGACTCATGCTGGAGCCAATCCTCAGGGAACATTTCTGAAGGTGAACATACCCCTTCCCTCTTGCATTAGCAAAATGTTTGGAACATTGTATTGTGTTCTTTTCTAGTTTAGGGTATCCTTAAAATGTACCAGATACCTCATAAAATTAATGCTACTTATTTATGTGTCATGAAATTTTATAAAAATATAGTCAGTCATGCTTGGCAATCATATCCATAAAGATATTCTCAGAATACATTCTTGTTACTTGCTGGCTGCTTATTATTAGGTAAAAGAAAAGTCTTGTCCCTTTTTCTTTTTGTAATAAAGCTAAAGATGTATCACATTTTCAAATAATAGGGTTATCATTTCAGCATTATATTTTATAATAGATGCAAGCCCTCCTTTATTCCCATAGGCAAATGAGGTAATTCTCTCCCTCCCCTCTCATTTTGAATTTTTGTCTGGATTCTATAACTTAAGTTCTGGCAGATTCAATTGTTAGACCATTGTTGTATGCATTTGGAATGGTTGGTCATTATTTTGGCTGGAGAAAGTATGTGGTTGCCAAAAATGAGTTAAAGTTAGTAGAAGATGATACTATACTTTTTAATATCAACTTTATAATGCCTTGGTCAGATCACACTTGAAATATTGTATCATGTTTTGCTAGCCACGATATAAAAAAAGATATTGAGAACTCTGGAAAGAGTGCAGAGAAAAGGGGGCTGGAGGCTAACATTTATGAAGAACAGTTGCAGGAGCTGGTTTAGTGAAAATAAGGAGTAGGAGTGATATGATAGCAGTGTTCCAGTATTCGAAGAGATGCCACAGAGATGAGGGGATCAACCTATTCTCCAAAGCAACTGAAAGCAGGATAAGAAACAATGGATGGAAACTAATCAAGGAGAGAAACAACCTAGAACTATGGAGAAATTTCCTGACAGTGAGAACTGTTAACCAGTGGAACAGTTTGCATCTAGAAGTTGTGAGTGCTTTATCACTGGAGGTTTTAAAGAATATATTGGACAGCTATTTGGCTGAAATGGTATAGGGCAGTGATGGCGAACCTTTTAGAGACCGAGTGCCCAAACTGCAACCCAAAACCCACTTATTTATCGCAAAGTGCCAGGGCTGCATCAGCATTGTGGTACCCTCAGGGGGGCTGCAGTGGTCACGGCAGACTGGGTGAGCATGGTTAGGACCAGTCCCTCGCCATCTCTGGGGCATCCCCGGGGGACCAACACCGCTTGCTCACTTCCTGCCCTGTCACTTCCAAACGCCACGTGCTCGCTACTCTGGCGAACTCTGTTGGGGCAATGGCGCGCGTGCCCACAGAGAGGGCTCTGAGTGCCGCCTCTGGCATGTGTGCCATAGGTTCGCCACCACTGGTATAGGGTCTCCTGCTTGGATAGAGGATTGAACTGTAGGACCTCTGGTGTCCCTTCCAACTTTATTATTCTGTTCTGTTATTCTTTCTATGATTATGTGTATCCATCAAGCCAAAAGAAAGTCCAGAATGGTATAGGATCTCCTGCCATGGGCAGGGGGTTGGACAAGAAACCTCCAAGGTCCCTTCCAACCCTATTATTCTATGTTCCATGAAACCTGCTAGTTTAGTTTAGTTGCTATAGAAAATCTACAGTTTGGAAATGTCTGTCTGTCTGTCTGTCTGTCTATCTGACGTGTTTTCCCACCTGCTCGCTCCCTCCCACCCTTTGCTTGCCCACGGCTGCAGTGGCTTACATGGTTTCCCAGGGCAGCACACATTTTGCAATTAGCTCCATTTCAAAGCACCCCATTTGCAAGCAGATGAAGTTTCCAGTCTCCCTCTGGGCAAAAAGTGTCACAGCGGAGCCAGAGGCACGGGGGGGAGGGGAAGGCAGGCAATCTGGATGTGCTGCATGGCCACCTGACTTGCGAGAGGCTTGTATGGCGGCACTGACAGCAGGCGGAGTCAGAGGCATGGGGGGAGGCAGGTAATTTCGATGCACCACCCATTCTGTCCCACCATCTCTCAGTTTGCCCGTGGCTGTGCTGGGATTGCCTGCCTCCCCCCCCCAGTGCCTCTGCCTTTGCCTGGTGCTGCTGCTGCTGCCTCGCTGTGAGCCTTCCATAAGCCAGGCGGCTGTACAGCATGTCCGAATCTCCTGCCTCTCCCCCGCCTCTGCGCTTGGACTCACCTGTGCAGTGCCAAGGGGCCAGTGGGCTGTGGCTGCTACCAGACATTGTTGACCCCCATGAGCTCGCCGCCTCTTGTGCTGGCCATGCCCATCCCCCCAGGGTTATTTTTAGGGTAGGGGTTATAATAGGTCCACCCCAAAAAAATCAGACTTATTTTTGGGGTGGGTCTTATTTTCAGGGAAACACGGTGTCTGTCTGTATGTCTGTCTGTCTGTCTAAAATTGTTTCCAAATTATAGATTTTCCACAGCAACTAAACTAAACTAATAGGTTTCATATATATGAGAACTGGTCATAAGTCACTGTTTTCAATGCCATTGTAACATCTGATGGTTGCTAAATGAATGATAAGTTGAGACTACCTGTACTATACAAATACTGTTGGGAATTGGGAATTACAAAGCTGTGTGTATATAATCTTTTTTAAAAAGTAACTTTGTAACTCCCAACTTACAACCACTCATTTAGCAAGATGTCAGAATCCAATTATATTTCATTTCTAGTTATCAACTATGGAAAAACCCCATTTCTGCCCTCTCTGGATTCTGTCATACTACGAAGGGGAAGGGGGATGAGCAAAGGGGTTTTATGGCTCTCAATTCCTTCATTAAAACTTCAAAGGGACTGAATGTGGATCTCATCAAGAGGACTGACCATAACAATATGGCCCATCAGCTTTCATCTAGTACTCTCTGAAGTCTCCCTTCTGCCGGTCGAGAGGAAAAGGGGGTGGAAATGTAATGCCTGGGATTGTCGCTGGAAGGACGGTGGGGTGGGGTCTGCTTGGAAACACTTAAAACCTTGGATGGTAGGGGTTGGCCCCTCAGATCCTGTCTAGAATGCCTGCAACCATCTTCTCTTAATAAAGATGCCTGTTGGAAGAGATATTCCAAGAGTTCTATCTTCTTAAGATGTAAAGTGGGGTGGGTCCTTACATTAGACAGGATCTGCAAAATTAGTCCACCTGGAGGGGAGAACCTTGCTGGGGGACTTTGCAAAAATTACCATGTTAGACGATGGAGCAGGGAAGAGAGAAAACTCCCCGGAAAGGGAGCTGCTGCCCTGACTGAAACCCTGCCAGATGTCAAGGTCTGAGAGGTCAGATTCCTCAGGAGAAGAGGTGGTAGAAACACGTAACCACAAACCTCGTTGGTCAATGGGTGTTGGAAAGAAAGGCGAGTGGGAAAATATTTATTTAATTACATTTATATCCCGCCCTTCTCCTTGCGGACTCAGGGCGGCTAACAATTGGATAAAATATAAACATATAGTACACCTATTAAAATTGATTAAAAAGAAATATTTAAACTCATCTGATTAAAAGTAATTAAAACCCCTTTAAAATCCCTTAGGCCAGTCCCGCAAGCTGGAACAACCATGTCTTGAGGGCGCGGCGGAAGGAAGGGAGATCAGGGATCACCCTGATCTCTGGGGGCAGTTCGTTCCAGAGGGTGGGAGCT